TCATCGGGTCTGTGATGTTGGCGTTTTGTCTCTCAAATGGTCAGGCGCCTTGAATGGCTTTTAGATTCCATTTGAGGCCCTGTGTGCTGGAGTGTTGCTATGGGAGAGGGCATCTAATTTGCCAAAACCAAATTAACCCGAATACACAAGGGGGTTTGTTAAGCAGTAAACAGTTGATAAACATCTAAACACTTTTATTCTTCTTGTTCTGTGCGGACTGAAACTTAATTATTAAACTTAAGTGCACGGGCCCGAACAAAGCACACCCAATTAGCACAATCTTTAAAGCCATGATATCTTTAAATTAGTTTTTCAACCAATGGATGATACAAGCCCTTTTCTACAAACTTAATCCAACAAGCTTGCTTTCTTTTCTATCTAGCCTGAAGTATTGGCGTTTTTCTGGTTTTTAGTTTTATTTATTTATTTTCAAATCCGTAACAGGGGCCTGGATTGTGGCACAGTGGCTTAAGCCCCTGCTTGCAATACCTCCCTCCTATATTAGAATGCCTACTCGAGTCTTAGCTTTTCCACTTTTTTTTTTAAAAAAAAAAGATTTATTTATTTTTATTGGAAAGTCAGATATACAGAGAGGAGGAGAGACAGAGAGGAAGATCTTCTGTCCGATGATTCACTCCCCAAGTGACCGCAATGGCTGGTGCTGTGGCAATCTGAAGCCAGGAGCCAGGAACTTGCTCCAGGTCTCCCACGCGGGTACAGGGTCCCAAGGCTTTGGGCTGTCCTCAACTGCTTTCCTAGGCCACAGGCAAGGAGCTGGATGGGAAGTGGGGGTGCTGGGATTAGAACCGGCATCCATATGGGATCCTGGTGCACTCAAGGTGAGGACTTTAGCCACTAGATCACTGCACCGGGCCCAGTTTTTCCACTTTTAATCCAGCTCCTTGCTAATGTGCCCAGGAAAGCAATTAAAAATGGCCCATAGGCTTGGGCACCTGCTACCCAGGTGTTAGACCAGGATGGAGCTCCTGCCTCCTGTCGGGCTCAGAGCTATTAGCCATTTGGGAAATGAACCTGCAGACAGAAGATACCCTTCTCTCTGTCACTTTACCTTGTGAATAAAGAAAAAAACATTTTAAAAATTCATATCAAGGTTTGTTCAAAACATTGATCATTATTCTGGGCTAAATGCTACTATTGCAAGACAATTTATAATTCAATCTCATCTATAAGCTTTCATTTTCAATCTGGTGGCATTTTCCATCGAGCCCTTAGGCAAAGATCTTGTCATTGAACACAGCTAAGAGTGTGGAGAGGGCCGCCTTTCAAACAATCAATTCATTGACATGTCGCCACTTGGATGGCCCCATTGGCTGGCACCATCCTCAATTGTCCCGCAGAATTTCCTGTCTGTAGCTTTTTTTTTTTAAAGTGCTGTTGACAGGGACAGTGGCAAAGAGAAAAAAACAAGAGGGCTCCCCTGCTGGGTCAGTCCTCAAAACAATTACAATGGCTGGAACTGGACCCAGTCAAAGCCAAGAGCTGGGTAAGTCCTCAAAGCATCTACAACGGTTGGGCCTAGGAGCTGGCTGCCATCTCAATTCATGCCTCCATGGGGAGGGCAGGGCCTCAAGCACCCCAACCTTGACTATTGCCTTTCCGCTTCTGCACCAGCCAGGAGCTGAGCTCAAGAGCTGGAGCTCCGAGTCCATCTAGGCACTGTAATATAAGATTCAGGCACCCCAACCAGCACCTTCACCTACTGTGCCCAACACGCATCACCTCCTTGGTTAAAACACTGGAGCCAGAAAGTAAAAGGTGTCCTTTAGGTCAGATCTGACGAGTCACTGGCTGGGCAAGGAGGCCCTCCTGGGGTGCTGGTCCCAAAGCTTGGCTTCCCAGAGGTTATTGGAAGGGCAAGATGCTCAGGGCCGCTCACTCCATGCCCAGCCTTGGTCTTTCGCTGCAGGTGTTGCCTCATTCGTGGTGTCACTCCTTTCCTTCTGTCTACAAAACGCTGGTCCCTGAGACCCGGGAGGGAAGCCTGGATCAGCGTCAGGTGCGCAGGGGGGCCTGAGGTATGCTGGTGGACTGGACACTGGCAGTGCAAGGGGCACAGCAATCTGGTGGCTGCCCCCTCCCCCAAGGACCCTCCCTCTGGATTCTATTCTTTATATCCTTGATGGATTTTGTCTCTTCTGGGCCATCTTGAAGGAAACCTCTGTGTGTGTGTGTGTGTGTGTGTAAGCGAGAGAGAGAGAGAGAGAGAGAGAGAGAGAGAGGGAAGTGCCTTCTCAAATCCCCTTTCTGCAAACAGGCTTCTGATGTGTCTCAAGGCCACACACCCGACGTCTGGTTTCTGTAGTGCCGAGAATGATGGCCACGGATCAATTGCTCCGAGTTCCGAGGCTGCTGCTGTCACATTGCATTTCCTGACCATTTTCCAGGTCCCTCAACACACGTTTAGAGCTGTGCACCACCCCCTGACACACATACAGGCCCACAGGCATACACACTAGACCCCTTCTCCTGTGGCAGTCTCCTATATTTCATGATCAAATCCACTGGAGGGAGTGGAGCCTTCCTAGCGGTCTCTTGAGGGAACCCCCCCCCCCCAATCTTAGGACAGAGAAGGAAGGCAAGGGAGGCCTGCTCCCCACCACAGACCCATGCACAGAGAATAACTCCCAGATGCAGCTGCTGGTTGGACTCCTGGACCAATGCGGAGAAGGGGGCTAAGCCGGGCCTGTCCCTAACTCAACACAGAGAACAAGCCAGCTCTCCTGCCAGGAGGTGACAGCCCTGAGCCCTCCTCTGGCTTGCGCTGGGGTGCACTCGCGGGGCCCAGGTGGTGACCTTCAGAAGGGCAGGGGCAGAGGACTGAGGCCCAGGGGTCACAGCCACCACCACCTTTGTCGGGGGGGGGGGGGCAGGGTCTCTGACCCCAGTCTGTTCCCAGACCTTACTCTCAGAGGTGGATGAGGCAGCGAGGAAGCAGGGTGGGGTGTCCCCCCGCTTTCCACCTCAGCAACACCCTGCCCCGAGCAGGGTCTCTTCTCTCCCCTACCCAACAAGCTCACTTTTCCAATACTGTGAAATCAAGGAGCTTTGAATTCTGCTGGCTGCGAGGCAGCTGCCTCCACCTCATTCTCAGACTAGCCCAGCTCACCACACTCCCATGGCGCCCTCACAGCGCATGCTCCAGCCCTGAAAGAGCCACAGTTCCATTCTCCCCCGGGACAAACTTACCCGCCAACCCCCAACCTTGTGCTCCACAGCAGGTGCTTGCTCTGCAGTTGGTGCTACTTGTGTAAGCAACCATTGGCCTGTCCCTAAGGGTGTCTGTGCCCCTACTGGCTTCACCTGGATGGCAGCAGCTGCGGCAGCGCGCGTGCCCGCACCCATGCATCCCCATGAGCACGAGTGTGCGTGAGCGTGCACACAACACACACACACACACACACACACACACACACACACACACACACACACACACACACCGCCACGACAGTCTCGGTCCGGACGGCGGTTGACACGCACTCAGTGCATACTCCCACACACCGCGCAAGCTCCCCACGCGTGGGGCCTACAATACTCCATCTTCCGTCCCTCCCCTACTCCCTCCCAACCACCCCCTTCACCTCCAAGAGTGGCCCTGGGTGCAAAAACCTACTACAGTCGGGTCAGAAAAGCTGGAAATCACACAAAGGACCCCCACGGGAAACCCTCTCCCTCCTCTGGATTCTTTTTTCCTCCTGCAGGCGATCTCCCTCTGTCCCTGGATTAAAAAAAAAAGTCTCGGAGTCCCGTTCAAATCGATGCTTTTATTGACCATTTAGACAGACGCGTTTAGAAAAGGGCACGGGTTCCGGGACGGGGACTACTCCCCGACCCCCGGGCCCGCGCTTGTGCTGTGCTGCGCTACGTGGAAAGGGGCTGGTGTGCCCGCCCCGCCCCCACCTTCCCACCCCCTGCCCCCCTACGCTTTCCTCCCACGACGAAAACGGGACTCCACGCCGTGCCCTTCCCACCCCCACCCTCTCACACCCCCCCCGCCCCCCATCGCACGGTCACATCCTACAGGACACAGACTTCTCCCCCTACAGAACACCCTCCGCTAGGACTACGGGGCAGACGCGGCACGATTGCGCACAGGCTTTTGTGCCAACCCTGGCGCACGGTTCCCCACGAGGAACGCACCCGGGATACCCGACCCGGCTGGCTCCCCGTCCCTGGGCGCCTTTAGGCTGTCGTCCCCACGGGTCGCCAGAAGTCTCCACGCCCTGATGCCCGGGGGACCGACTGGCCTCCCAAGTGGACTGGGGGTGCGCGCCCCAGTCCCGTGGAGTTTTATTTCGTTAAGTTAGGAGAGGAGCGACACACGGACATACACACAACGTTCCTAGAGACAAGGAAAGGGGTGTTAGCACCAGACCCAGAGAATGTCGCTGTCTTGGAAAACAACAAAACCCGGGAAATCAGAGTGGGGGTGGGGTGGGCCGTGAAACCGCAGCGCGCCAGGCACCGGAGTCGGCTCCAGCCAGACAGAAGAGGTGGGGGCACGTCTCGGGGCACACGTACCCCTGGTCGGAGTTGGGCTTTGGAAGGAAACAGGAAGGTCTGTCGCCCATCCCCCCGCGGGGACCTGCAGCATGCTGGCAGCCAGCAGGACTCCGAGGAGCGCCCCGCCCAGGGAGCCGCGGCCACACCCCTCTGGGAGCTGTGGGGCACCCAAGGCGGGGCTGGTTTGGGGATCGTCGCAGAGGGAAATAGGATGGCGTAGTAGACTTGACCTCACCATCCATCGGCGGGGTCCTACACAGGGGAGGAGGTGCGGGACGCTGTGCTTGGAGTGGAGGGCTCAGCGCATCCAGGGTGGTGGGAATCTGGAGGCCCAGTCCCCTCTGGAAGCCTTGGATCCTCAGGCTGGGGGCGAGGGTCAGAGTGGGTGCGGATTGGAGTGGGCGGGGGACGAGGGAGGTATTTGTGGCCCGGGCAGGGGTGAGGTGGGATGGAGTGAAGGGTAGGGTGGGATAGGGGGTTTAGCCCGCCGTCTGCCTGTAATTGCCGTTAATCTCCGGCGTGATGTTGACGGCCTCGGCGCCCAAGGGCAGCCGGTCGCTGTACTCAGAGCCTGCCTCGAACTCCTCCTGGTTCACCTTAGACTGGGACTCCGCCAGCGAGCAGGCCGCCAGGCTCTCCTCCCTCTGCAAGCCTCCGCTGGGGTCCCCCTGCTCCTCCTCTTCTTCTAGGATCTCCTCCGGGGCCTCCCCCTGCTCTTCACCGCCGGCCTCGCCACCCGCCCCGAAACTCTTCTCCGACTCGAGGTAGGAGGCCCGGGGGTCGAAGTCGTTGGCGATGCGCTTCTCCATGGGGTCTGGGGCTTGCGGCCGCAGAATCAAGCGGTAGGGCTTGCCCGGGTGCTTGGCCAGCAGATGGCAGCAAGCAGCGCCCAGCAGGGGCACGGTGGCCAGCACCAGCAGGAACACGCTCACCGCCACGATGACCAGCAGCGAGGGCAGCTCTTTCTTGGTGGCGAACACGACTTGCACGTGGCAGGCCTCGCCCGCCAGCGCCAGGCATACGGAATAGTTGGTGCCGGGCTGCAGCCCGCGGAACCAGTAGGCGTTGACGCCCTCCTCCACGCGCGACCACTGCACCGCCGCGCCGCCGCCCGCCGGACACAGGTAGAGCAGACGCAGGGGTCGCCGCCCGGGACCCCAGCGCGCCGCCAGCGGCGTCAGCTGCACTCGTGCCTCGCGCTCTGCCACATCCAGCGCGATGACGCCCAGTTCGAAGGCGTGCGGCTTGAGCTCCGCGCTCTGGTTGAACGCGTGGTTGGACACGTACCGGGACGGGTCTCCATGGCCGCAGTGCTGCTTCTCCGCCGCGTCTTCAGGAATCGAGTCTTCGGCCTCCTCTTCCTCACCTGCCTCGGTCTCCTCCTCCTCCTCCTGCATCGGCTCCGCCTCCCCGAGGACAGCGACTCTGGCTTGGCCGTCGCGGCCTTTGGTTTTGCCTTCGGGCTTAAAAGGCAGGACGCTGTTACCTCGGCCCTTGGCAGTAGATTTGCGCCCAGAGGTCGGAGTCTGTCCGTCTGCTTCTCCCTCAGCGCCGGGAGCGTGTTTGGGGGGCCCGGCTGCAGTCACCGCCACGCGCATGGAAGTTGAGTTGGTGCCCAGCTCATTGTGCGCGCGGCAGGTGTAGATGCCCGCCTCCTTGGCACTGAGCACCGGTACCAACAGGGAGCCGTTGGCGAGGGCCAAGAAACGAGGAGTGGCCGGGGGCACGGGCCAAGCTGGGGGTGGAGGCGATGTTGGAGCCTCCATCGTCGTCGGCGTGGGCGCGTCCCCGTCTCCTTCACCCTTCGGGTTCGCCGCCTCGTTCCCGTCGTCCTCCCCGCTCGGGACCGGCGGCTCCAAGACGACTGTGCCACCGGGGATCTGGAGTTGCCACTGCAGGCGGGGCGTGGGGTGTCCTTCGGCCACGCAGTGCGCCAAGAACGTCAGGCCGGCACGTAGAGGGGCGCCAGGCACCTCGGGTACTGGTTCTGCGTTCAGAAGTACGCTGGGCGGCGCGCAGGGTAGGGCGGGCAGGCGGTGCACTGGCACGCCTTGCAGCGCTGGGGGCGAGGCGCAAGCGATGGAGTCTGGCTCGGGTAGGGAGACCCGGGTGCTAGCGGCCCAGGCCTGCAGCCATAGCAGGCGGCAGCCGCAGTGAAAGGGATTGTGATAAAGCTGTAGGTGCGATAACGCGCTCAGCGCGTCGAAGGTGCCGGGCTCCAGCGTGCGCAGGCGGTTGTTGTTGATGCGCAGCGAACGCAGGTCCGGCAGCGCTCCGAGAGCGTCCCGGGGCAACGAGCCCAGGTTGTTGTGGTTCATCTTGAGCAACTGCAGCGCGCTCAGGTTGCGAAGGTCGCTCCACGGGAAGCTGGAGATGAGGTTGTGGCTCAGGTCGAGGTTCTTCAGCTGGCTTAACACGGCCAGGGAGCCCGGCTCCACGGTGCGCACCTCATTGTGCGCCAGCCACAGCGACGTGACCTGCGTGACGTTGGCGAATGCCCCGCGTCGAAGCACGGTGATCTTGTTGGCCGACAGGCTTAGCGTGGTCACGTTGGCAGGCAGTCCTTCGGGGACCTCGCGCAGCTCCTTGTAGGCGCAATCGGCGAACTGGTGAGCGTACTTGTCTACGCAGGCGCAAGGCTCTGGGCATGCCGCTGCCACTCTGAGCAGGGCCCAGGACAACCACAGGGCACGGAGGGGCGCCATGGCGGCTCCTACACTCCTAAGGGGGAGAAGAGAGGAGAAGGTGACCGGCAGCCCTAGCTTCCCATCCCCCCCATCAAGCTCTGTCCTCAAAATCTGAGTAGCCACGAGTGGAACCAATACCAACCTGGGTGCCCAAAGGATGGTGGGGTTTTTTTTGTTGTTGTTTGTTTCTTTTCTCTTTCCCTACCCCCACCCCAACTTACCCTTGAACAGGTTGGGCACTGACCCCTCTTTGTGTTTCCAAGTCTTCAGCCAACAAGATAAAATGGATGCACAATGAGGGCATTTGTTTGTCCTTGACTGGGCTGCCTTGCCCATTACCCTTTGTCCCGCCAGCACTCACACAGGCACGAACCAAGACAAAACACCCTTCCCCCCTACAGACACACACACCCATGCCCTGGATCCACTGCCCCCTGCCTTGCCTACTTCTGCTCTGTGAGAGGACCTTGCAGCTCCCCAAAGCATTTCATAGCCACACACAAGAACACCCAGTCTAGCACACGACACCCAGTGCCCGCATTGTTCCCTCCTGGCTGCACCCAGCATCTGCACAGCAGGGTGTTCGAGCACGGTGCAAGCCACGTCCCTATGCATTGTGAGGGTAGACAGGCACACGTCCCACAAGGGAGCCCAGGCGCATGTAACAGCCCCCTCCCGGGAGACCGAAATCCCAGCAGGTGAGCCCTGCGGGGTGGCAAGTGGGGAAGCAGAACCCCTGGCCCTTCTTGCAGGGCAGCTCCTCAGGGAAAACCCAGGCACTGCAGTCCACCTCCCCCCACCCAAACTCCCGGCCAGTTGCACGGCACAGAAGACAAAATCATTGGGTCTCCCAAGAGAGGGGCTACACTGCTACGGGACGCTGGAATCCGTTCAAGAGCCTGAGCCTTCCTTCCCAGCTACTGGTCATCCCCACCCAGCCCCATTCTCAGCCACACAGCCCCCTCAGGAGCCCCAGCCCATTTGTGTGACATGTTCCTATCCCCCCTCCCCGCTCCCGCCTTCGGGCACCCGCGACCCTGCATGCACCTTTCCACTCCACTTTAGCTCCTAGTGGAGCATCCCTCCGCTCCAGGATTCGCCCCAACACAGCCTGCAGATTGCAGGAAGGAGGAGTGGGTGGACGCCTGAGGCTGGGCCAACGCCCACCTGGGCTGAGGCTACTGCGGGGACAGGTTCTCCACTTACCCGCACCCGCCTGCTCTAGTGCGTTGCCCTGGAGCAAGAACCCTTTCTCCTGCGCGCTGTGGCGGAGCCGGGGCACAGCCCGCAGTAGCCTCCCGCATCTGTTCCTGCGGTTGTAGGGAAAACCGTGATGGGGCAGAGAAAGGGGCCAGATAAGTTTTTTGGGGGGTGGGGAGGGACTCCCTCGGTCCCGAAGTCCCACTTGAGATTTTCCTACCACGTCTGGCAGCGGGTTGGGGAGAGAGTGAGAGCAGAGCCCTTGCGCGCGCTCCCAGGCTCGGCGGGGACGCGCATGCCTCTCCCACTCCTCACAACGTCTGCGTTTGTGAAGGCTGGGTAGACCCCCCCCCCCACTCGCCGCCGCCCCGGCCAAGACACGTCGGTCACAGGGGCGTCCCACGCCCACCGCTCCCGCAAGTAGCCCACCTCCTGCTGACATTGTCACTCCCACACCGCCAGTTCCCTTCCCCAGGAGCAGACACAGTTGCACGCAAACCTTGCACCTCTACGCGTCGGACTTGTGCCTCCTTAGCGTCTGCGCTGGCAAGAACACCCGCCCGCCCCGGGACCCTCTTCCTGTCCCTCTCACCCACCTTCACGCGCTTTTCACCCTCACGCGCCCGGCCTCCAGCGCCCGCAAGCTTCGCTGCGAATTGAAGCCGGAGCGGCTTTTACGCCCCGCAACACGTGAGACAAACCATTTTGAGGAACTGGGGGGAAAGGCAAGCGCGCGGCTGCGGGGCGGGCGGGTGGGGGCGTGTCTTTGCCTCGAAACACTTTCTGCAATCACAGGCGGTGGAGAAGGCAGACCTCGAGCCGCGTTCGCTCTGCTCGCGCGGGCCCTTGTCTCCCGCACCGCCCAGCCGGCCGCCACCTCCCCGAAGCCACGTTCAACACGATGCATAATTGATAGTGTTAGCAGAGCGCCTCTCCCTCCCTGCCTTTTTATTTTTTGCCTGGATCTGGGCAGATTCTAGTCCTGATCTCCCCCTCGCACTGCCCCCTTCCTACTAGGCTAACCCGAAGTCCAGAGCGAGTGGCCGCGCAGGGCACGGGGCGGGGAGGGGAGAAAGGCGCCCCATCCTTTAGCTCGCCACCATCCCTGGCCCAACCTTGGAAGCCGGGAGTCCCTTACGTCTGGTCTTTGTGGCTAAGCCACCGCCAGAAGCCCACCGCCCAATGCGCGGTCCCGTGCGCACTGTTGGGCGGGGCGCGGGGCCAGCGTGCACTCCCGGGAAGCCAGGCTGGCGCCCGCAAGCACCTTGCTTTCGCGTCTTGCTAGCTGCAGGCGAGTGGGGCGCCGGGGCTGTCGCGGGAGGCTGCGGGGCTGGCTAGACCGCGTCCGCTCCTCCGAAGCACCTCCGAGGGCTCCAGCAGGGCTCCCTCCCCTTCTCTCCCTAAGGCGAGCGCTCCGCCAACCCCCCGCGCGTGGCGCCGGCTGGGAACCACGCTTAGGCCGCCCCCGCCGCCGCCGGCCGTCTCACACCCTCACACAACAGCCGGCCCGGGCGGACGCGCTGTTCCCAACTCCCGCTCCCGAACTCTGATGGAGCCCCGACATTTCTTTTAGCATCGAGGAGGCGGAGGCGCGGCGATGTCGAGGCATTTGGCTAAAACCCGGTTCCCACCCCCGCCTGCCTACAGCATCTTTGTAGACAGCTGCCGGCCAGAACCGAAAACAGAGAGTCCGGGGGACTGGCAGAAGCCCGGTGACCGTGCTTTGCGTGGGCGCCGAGCCTCGGACAGGCGTGCGCTCCGGGGTTCGGCTCCCAGACCTCAGCCCGGGGCAGTGAGGGTCTTTCACGGCGGTTGGAGAGCGGCGCGGCGCGGTGCGTTTGGGGCCTCTGCTAGATCAATACCCTGATTTGAGTGTTGAGCATTTTAATGAGCTGAGGCCAGGGGTGGGGGAGGAAGACAGGCAAGGAGCGCAGCCTCCGAAGAGACCACCCGGCCGGGAGGGTGCCTTTGTAAATTAAATATGAACACACCCGGCGCGCGCGCGCGCTCTCCTCCTCCCGTCCTCGCCGCGGGCGGCCCCGCGCGCAGCTCGCTCTGCATGGAGTTCCGAACCCAGAACTTGGCCGCCGCCTGCTCGTGACGGGAGTGAGGGTGGAATGGGGGATGGATGTGCCAAGGCGCTTTGGAGGGGGGAGGGAGAGTTGTTGAAGCAGCAGGTTCCCGTGAGAGATCCCAGTGACCCTGCCAGGGCTGCGATGGGACGGGTCGGGAGCCGGTCTCTGGGCCTTGCGGGACCGAGGGTGGGGATGGCGTGGGCCACGGCACCGGCTCCTTTGTTTGCGGAGTCTGGCGGCATCTAGGGCGTGTGGACCAAAGGTGGAGATTCTGGGAGCGCAGCTGCGGGAGAAGGTAGGGTCCCCGCTGCAGGGACAGGATGAGTCCCGCACCTGGGCTCCTGCGGCCCATTTCTGAGGCGCCCAGGCAGCGAGGGAGGTTCCCTCGGGAGTCATTCCCCCCAGCCCCAATTTTTCACCTTTCTTCCCTGTTTTTTGGGGGGAGGCCAGGACAGAGGGGGATAAATTGAAAGAGAGCAGAGAAGAAAGACAGTTTCCGGGGCAGGGAAGAGCGGGTGGCCCGGTGGGCCTGTGCGCACAACCTCCCAGAGCCAGCGGGATCTGTCTAGCCAGCGGCTCTGGGAACCTCTGGGGGCACACCCGCCGGCAGTGCCCCTCTCCGCACCGTCAGGTCGGGGATGCCGAAGCCTGAGGCGGTCTTTGGTGACTAGGAGGGTTCCAGGCGCCTAGGGAGGTGAGCCGGGGCCTCAGGGCTCCCGTCGGTTCCCCTCGGCTCCCGCCCATTGTGCAGCTATTTGTTGTTGTTGTTGTTCCCGACCCTGCCCTGTGGGGAAAAGACGCCCCTGCCAGTACCCGCTGGTGGCAGGGCAGAGTCCTCTTGAAACCTGGGAGGAGTTGAGCGAGGAGACCCCGCGCGCGACACAAATGCCAGTGGCGTCCAGGGCACTCGCCGTGGGCAGGTGCTGACGCGCAGCTGCCACTCGCACCGCGCCCACAGCTTTGATTATTAAAAGGCACCTCGTCGGGTATGGGGGAGTTGCGTGGGGGACAGGGGTCCTCCAGGTTTCTAGTGCGAGTGCCAAGGACCTCAGATATGCAACAGAATCTCTCCCACCTAAGGGCTAATGAGATTTTTGACCATGTTGGGGTCCTGTGCTGCCCCTCCACGCCCCCCGCAGCTGGCTCAGAGACCGAGACCTGGAGCCTCACCTGCTTTCCTTCCTTCGTTTATCCTTCCTCGCTCCTTCCCTCCCTTCCTTATTTCTTTCTTGCCGTCCTTCCTTCATTTTTTCCCCCTTCCGTCTAACTGGACACCTTGCGGACCCGAACGTTAGACACCTTAGCCCGAACCTCGGGCTGGCGCCTGCAGGATCCGAACATGCTCCCCCGCCTCTGCGCCCCAGGTGTCGGGCACGGCCTGGTCGGTGCGCGCCCCCTGCTGGAGCTCCTGCGGGATCTGGGGGTCGCGGGGTGCAGGAGCCACTGGGTTCCTATCAGGCAGGCAGAACCAAGACCCCTGGGTGTGGTGGGGGGCTTCCCCTCCGGTGCCCATGCGGTTTACATCTCAGGAGTCTGCATCCTGTGGAATTCCCGGCATTCCCTCCGAATTCTCCCGAAACCTCTATCCTTGGCAGGAACCAGTAGATGAACCCTTAGTTCTAGAATCACTCACTCTCATGGCCTTACAGAGTTCGGTCTGGGCATGATGACCAGGCCAGCTTATGTATGTCCCACCTCGGGTTAGGAGGACCTCAGCTCTGGCCCCATCCCACCCCACCCCAG